GAATAACCTAGGGTTTTTTCCGCGAGTAACCTATGGATTTTCCACGGGCGTCCTAGGGTTTTGCCGCAAATAACCTAGAGTTTTTCCGCGAACAAACTAGGGTTTTGCCGTGAATAACCTAGAGTTTTTCCGCGAGTAACCCAGGGTTTATTTCGCTAGTAACCTACGGTTCGTTCCGCGGTTTCTGGGAGAGCAAGTTTTATTTTTCCGAAAAGTTCTCGGAAAACGCCTTTTGCTCAACCCGTGAGATATATCCAAATCGAAAATAAGAAAAACACAATGGGGTTTGATAGATTTTATCGTTGCCCTTAGTGATCTGAGATAGAAATCGTGAGCTTGTTTTTTCGCTCTTCCCGTGGCGAAGAGTCGCGATTAGGTTTTCCATTTTGTTGAGTACTACAGCGTTTACGTGAGCGTTGGTTGTACGAGTACTCGCTGCTGGATTTGTTTTACCAGCGTCTTTGCGAGTTGCGACCTTGTCTTTCATACATCCAGACATCGTTTGGTCAAGCGTTTTGCGGCTATGAGTAAGAGTAATCCGACCCCCCTCCTTCTAGCGCCAAACTGTGGGAACCGAAATCCACACTGTCGATTTTCCGTAAAATATGGAAACTTAGGATGAAACCCTAATTTTCCCGAGGTCCTGGATCTCTGCGAAAATCACTAAAGCAAACAAATTTAAAAGAATATGGATGAACAATAAAGAACAGAGAGTAAGAACTTGTGCGAAAGCTTTTATTAAATAGAATCGACAACTGTTACAAGAAGAATTGAAGAACTTAGACGTCGAAACGTTCTAAGGATCTCAATTGCTAGTTTAAACGCTAAGTCCTAAATTCCTAAGCTAATAGCCATCTTTTTAGGTCTGATTTTCGTCCCCTTCTTCTGCCCTACGCCTCTGGTTTATATACTCCTTGCCTTGACGGTTCGATCTTTCCATTTTGCCGGATTTGAGTATTTCGGGAATCTTCCATTTTTCTCAATCCTTCCTTTTCTTCCGCGGAAATCTTCTATTTATCTTCAAACTTGCCTATTATCTTTGAACTTGACATTTATTTTCCTTCTGCGAATAAACCGTCAAAAAGTTATCGAATCTTCGGGTTAGATTCCGTTAAGATCGCGAGATGGGTTTTTATCGCGTTTTAGGTCCTTCCGGGCCGTTTCGCGATAAATCCATTTTCCGACTTTTACGGGATCGTTTCCTGATCTGACATTGTTTTTAATAAATTCCTCGAGTTAATCGTAAGGTTTTATGATTTACTCGACTTTTTTTTATTAAAAATACGTTTTTTACGATTTACTCGACGTTTTTTATTAAAAACACGTTTTTATGATTTCAACGAGAAATCTCAAATAAATCGCATAGTTTATGCAATGTTCGGTGTTTCGTTTAACCATTGCCGTTTTATACGATTTCTTCGAGTTCTTTATCGAGAAACCGAAGTTTTACGGTTTTTATCGTAAAACTCGAACGATAAGTCGGATCGAGATGGAACGGGAGATGTTTCGGCCGTGGTTCAGAACGCGACCGTGTCGTAAGTTTCGAATCGGGAATGCGGGAGATCGAGGCGCGGGATATCCATGAAATCTCTAGTTCGCCCATCGGCGAACTAAGCCGGACCGGCATAGTTCCCCAATGGGCGAACTAGTCGAGATGGACTAGTTCGCCCTTCGGCGAACTAAGCCGGGCAGGCTTAGTTCGCCGATGGGCGAACTAGTCGAGTGCCTCTTAGTTCGCCCATGGGCGAACTAGTCGTGACTAGTTCGCGTTTTACGGCTGTTTCGGTTTTTTGCGGTTTCGTAAAACGATTCTTCGAGTTTTATAAAACGATTCTTCGAGTTTTATAAAACGATTCTTCGAGTTTTATAAAACGATTCTTCGAGTTTTATAAAACGATTCTCGAGTTTTATAAAACGATTCTTCGAGTTTTATAAAATGATTCTCGAGTTTTATAAAACGATTCTTCGAGTTTTATAAAACGATTCTTCGAGTTTTATAAAACGATTCTTCGAGTTTTATAAAACGATTCTCGAGTTTTACAAACGATTCTTCGAGTTTTATAAAATGATTCTTCGAGTTTTATAAAACGATTCTTCGAGTTTTATAAAACGATTCAGAATTTTTATTAAAACGGCTCTCCGTTTTAATAAATGAATTTTGCGGAAAGTAATGATTCCAGAAGTTATCGTAGACGTTGATTTCGAGATTACGGTTTTTGACACCAACACACCACCGACCCAAAATCGCATCTGCAGTCTTTCCAGATCGCAATGGGAAAGTGCAAACTCAAGGAATGCGAACGAGACGCTGGCTACTGCCTCCTCTTCGTCGAGAAACTCAAAGGGGCCACGCTCTAATGGTTTTCTCGCCTGAAACGAAATTCCATCGGAAGTTTCCGCCAACTTGCTTCAGAGTTTCTCAAACAGTATTCCATGTTCATGGACAGAGAAACCTCGGACGTCGATCTCTGGAGCCTGTCTCAAAGAGAAGACAAACCACTTCGCGAGTTCATGAACAGATTCAAGCTAGTAATGGCGAGAGTCACTAGGATCAGCGAGAAAGTAGCAATTGATGATTTGAAGAAATTTCGACAATGAATATCCCTCTTCATCGTAATGGAAGAGGAGATGCAAATCCTCTCCCATAAGTACAACCCGCAGAAGACGCCCGCAAAACGGAAAATCTCTTGGAACGACAAGTATGTCCACCACGAGGGAGAAGATTTCCAAGGCGAGCACGACTACACTATCAACTCCGAATAAGGAAAGACCTCTGGGAACACCTGGACCAGGAACCAGTACAAGGATAACTCCTACTGCGAGTTCCACCAGACCAAAGGTCATTCCACTACGAACTGCAAAGTTCTCGGCGCAAGGCTAGCCGCAAAACTTCTCTCCGGCGTTCTTTCGAAGGTCACTAGCATGAAAGACCTCATCCTGGATTCCGACCGTCCTCCCAGGACTGATAAAGAGTCTCCCGAAAGGGACGCGCGCGAAAATCAGTCTGGAGAAAAACGCGGGAGAAAACGGGATGACCAAGGAAACAACAGCAACCGTCGAAGGGTCAACATGATCATCGAAGGATCCCAATTCTACAGAGATCCGGTCTCATCGATCAAGGCTTACGGACGGAAGGCTGAAACAAGATCTAGCTAGCCAGATCGGTCCCCGATTGATGACGCCCCTAATGATACGATCACTTTTGAAGAGCACGAAACCGACAGCATTGACAAACCACACTGCGATCCGCTGGTTATCGATTTGATAATCCGAGACCTTGAGGTCAGAAGGATCCTTATCGATACAAGAAGCACTGTCAGCGTCATCTGTCGCGATACTCTTCAAAGGATGGGCATCGAATTCGGAGAAGTGGTCCCAGAATCAAAACCTCTTACTGGTTTTTAAGGAAAAACATCGATGACCCTCGGATCAATCAAATTCCCGTAATGGCTAAAGAAGTGACGAAGATCATCGGTGGTCGAAAATCCGGCCATCTATAACGTCATCATGGGAACTCCCTAGATAAATATAATCCGACAAGGATACCATAGCGCGCTATACAAGAAATCCACACTTGTACGCGATATTTTCGAAACTTTTTCAATAAAATCCATTTTTCTTTCGGCCTCTCGATTCACTTGCAATAAGCCATAACAATCGGAGAATAACTTGAGAAACGCCCAAAACAAGGGTATCCAAACACGCATACCCTCCAAGAAGTCCTTCGATGGGAACTAACAAAAATCCTTACGTATCAACGGTCAAGCAAGACCAAATACATCTTCTTTAAAAAACGAAGATCGTAACTTTCTCACTACAAAAGATATACCTTTCGGAAAAAGCGGGACGTCGCAAACATTTTTGAAAGACATTATCCTTACACACAGTCCGTCCGCGACTCAAAAAAAAAAAACAAATTACCCGTCGACTAGCCCCGACGGACAAACCCGAAAACGCTCTCTAAAAAAAGACTCGTAGTCAAACCTTTTGTAAAAGTTAAGGTTCTCTTACATCCGACAAGGATACCATAACGCGCTATACAAGAAATCCGAAATTTTGGTCAGCACTCCAGACGGTCTCTGGAGAGTGCTCGGTTCTTCCATACAAGTCATATAAGCATGTGCCAAGTCGCAGACTTTAAATCGGAAAGAACCAGGTGGAAATCGCCCACATGCAAAACGAGAGCCGATCAGTCATCGCACAGCCTTAGAGCCGAAAGTAAACCTAGGTATTTCCCTAAACCCAATCGTACTGGTCCATTAACATCTCCAGACATGATACGAGATCTTAAAAACATGTCCCATCGTTTATATCTAATACGCTCACGAAACTTCGCGAAACTCCTAAATGTTTCCGAACATCCTCGTTCAGTAAGAACAAACGAATAAGACGATAAACTAAGAGTTAAGGTACGAAGTGACTACTCATATCTTTCCCTTGCACTTGGCAGAAGTATAAACTAAAACGCACAGAATTTCGATTATTCGTCATATATATAAAGCCGCAAAAAAACGGTTAGGACCCAAAGACACCAACGGCCGGTCCCAAAGACATAGTTCACATGTCCTCACAAGGCCATAACACACATAAGATAAAATATGGCCACACTCGGCCTACATACATCAAAACCTTTAGATAAAAACTAAGAGAAACAATCCCTAACCACCCTGAGGATCAGAGGTCAAGGAAACCAGACATGGAGACTCCAAAGAAGCTCACTGGCTGATCCACCTCTCCTTCCTCAGCCGTGACGCCCTCCACATCCCCGACACCAGCTCCGGCTTCCGCTGTATCCTCAGAAACCTCAATGGGTTCCCAAACCTGTCGGATCCTCCCTTCGATCGGAAAAACCCATGACTCAGCATGAACACACCCATCCATAGGTCCTGACATGATGGCAATCTCGGGAAGAAAGGAGAAGTCGGCGTCATATAACTTCCGGAGGGAAGCGACTGAACCGTGGCACTCGTGGAAGTCGCCCACGTCGTCCTGAGCTTCCTTTAGACCTTGGAACTCGGTGTTGAACAGCGTGGCTCTCCTTGCAAGTTCGGTAGCAACCTTCCTCCTCCCTCTCCTCTCCGCACGGATGAGAGCACAAGAATGGGATTCAGCCTGTGCACGGTCTCGCTCCGCCACCTGATCTGGAACTCAATGAACTTGCTCTCGATCTCCTCGGCCTTGAAATGCAAAAGGCGCGCTTCTCTGAAACCTCCGTTTAATGCCGAGTTAAAAACTCGCATCCCCTGTACAAATCGAGGATCAAAAACGGAAATAACAATCTAAAGATTTCTCGAAAGGATTCAGAGACCGAACCTCATTGATCAACTGAGAGCCTTCCGCGACCACCTCTCTCCTCGATGCCTCGGTCAGAGACGCTTGAGTGGTAAAACCGGGAGGAAGGTTGTCAAAGAAGTCACTCAGAAGGGGAATTTCACTTGCTCCGCTCCCGTTACCCGTTTCCCATCCAGGGATCTGAGGATCGTCCGAGACACTTCTAAAAGCAATCCCCTTATCCTTCTGAGGCCTAACCCTTTCCCTTTGAGCAGGAATGGCTTCGGGGCGCGGCTCGTCTGCGTCCGACACATGCAAGGGTCGGAGGATGCCGCGCGATCGGTGGAGCTCCACTGCACCACAGATCCTATCAAGGGTAAAGAAGTTCCAGAAGAACGGACCGCTGCGGAGAAAGTTCGGCTTAGCATAGAGATCCCTGGGAGTATCCGGAAGGACCATGTTCACTGAAAAATATATATATATATATATATATACCAAAAGCAATCAGATATCTCTAAAATCAAGGCAAACCAAAGCGTTCGATCGTATTACCATGGTTCAAGTTCCATTCACTACGGAACAGGTGGAGGCAGTTCTCCTCTGCGGACTCGCCGTCCACTCGAACGAAGAAGAAACGATTGAACAATCCCTTAGCGTTGGAAGTATGCCCCTAGATGATCGACATGTGTTTCTTAGGGTGCTTACGGAACGAGTATTCATTCCCCATCTTCTGTGTCATCCACAGCCCTTTAAAGTCATCAGGGCTAAGGTCCATCCCGAGCTCATAGCTTAAGATCAACACGCCAAGCCAATGCTGCAATGCCGCAATGTCAGCTGGCTGATCGACAATCCGAAATGGTTAAGCCACGGATGATGGCCTCAGGGATCGGAAACCACATGCGGCAATACGTCAGGAAGGCTTCGTAGCAAGTAAAGAAGCCTTCCGGGGGATTCTCTGCGCTCTCCCCGCTTGTCGGAATTCAGAACACTACCCCGCTCGGTACCTTGTTGAACTCTCAGAGAGTCCTAAGGTAGGAAGAGGAGGTCCTGCTCGGGGCGGTTAGGTCAATCACCGTGGCAGGTCTCTTCGGAAACAAAACCTCGGGCGGAGGGGTTATCAAACCACATAGAGCATCCCAATATGCATCCTTCTCTTCTTGCTCGACTTCAAATTCCTCCTTGAGGGCAATCCCCTCATTTGAACTAGGAACATCCGAAGATGATTGAGAAGAATTTTTGTTTTTGGAGGATCTCTTCCTTGAAGACATTTTGAGAGAGAGAGATCTTTGAGAGAAAATTTCTACCTTAGATAATTTTTTTCTTAAGGAAAGAAGTGAGTAAAGAATTTAAAAAACTTACTTCCCTTACTTATAGAAAATATTTGTTTACTATTCATCCTCAAACTTTCGACAAACGATTACGTCTAATTCCACCTAGAACAGACCATACCGTAAGCTAGGACCTAACACTCAGGCCCACGGATCCTAGCTAGATGGGGGCTAACTGTTGGGGTCAAAATCAGTCACGACAGAATCAATGTCCGAAAGTTCCCGGAAAACCAACTTCCAGTCTATCTTATCGGGTTTAAAAACGGTTATCTCGAAATTAACGGCCAGGATTACCATCTTACGTATTCATTGCGGAAAACCTCTCAAACAAGAATTCCCAAAAGGATCAATACGAAAAGAGATGTGTCAAAACTCGAGAACCGAACCCTCCTGGCCAAGATCACCCCACACATAGGCGATATGGACCGAAGCCGATATCATCAAGGTCACCTCGCCCATGGGCGAGGTGAAACGGTACATGGTCACCTCACTCATGGGCGAGGTGAACCAGCCTCGATGTCACCTCGCCCATGGGCGAGGTGAAACGACACCAAGGTCACCTCTCCCATGGGCGAGGTGAACCAGTGCCGATGTCACCTCGCCCATGGGCGAGGTGAACCAGCACCGGTGTCACCTCGCCCATGGGCGAGGTGAATCAGTACCAATCTCACCTCGCCCATGGGCGAGGTGAACCGAGACAAAGTTCATCTCGCCCACAGGCGAGGATAGCCTGATCCCAATCCTATTAACCATTTGCCCTCGTCTTAAGTTCCCGTAACGCGATCCTAGGTTCCTTGGACATGACACCTCCATCTCGGATTATCGAAGAAAGACTTCGGAAAGATCATAAAGACTTGGTTGTAGAGATGATCCCTTCCAAATCAAATAAAATGGCTACGGTTAACTTAAACACCAGCTACCTAAAATATACGAGGAATTGGGATCCTCTCGGAAACATCAATGCCACGGCTCAAGGAGGCCTGGATCACAGGCCAACGGCCCACTTAGGATTTTAAAAGGATTGAGCCCCAAGGCTGGTATGACGATCTATTTTATTTGCAGGAAAAGATAAATGTCAAGTTTCCAAAAGATAAACATGAAGTTTCCGAAGATAAATGTAAAGTTTCCAAGGATAATCATGAGGGATGACGAAAATGGAAAAGCCCGATTCGGCCCAAGAGGAGGAGTAAACCACCCTAGGGGAGTATATACGGGGAGCTTGGGGCGAGGAGAAAAGGGAGAGCTTCTTCAGAGCAACTTAGCACTTAGAGCAATTTTGGCATCTTTTCCGTTTTTACTATCGAGCTGCGAATCATCTAGGTTAGATTTAAGTTGCTAGACTAGCAAACGTACTGACAGCTCTTGTAGCCGACGTCCTTACATGTTGTCCAAGCTCAAACGCGAATTCGGAAATAAGATCCTCTTATTCTTTTTTTCCACTCTTTTACGCTCTTTTAAGTTTTTCTCGCTTTTAACTCCTTCGTATTGATTGTGTCGTGTGTAGCCCCACAGATAACTGGGACCTTCAGGGAAGGCTAGAATAGCTTAGCTTTCCTCCGATTAACAAATCTCGACGGTGTGATTTTCGGTTCCCACAATATGGCGACTAGTGGATCCTTCGATACGGTCGCCATATGGCGATCGGTTGATCTCTCGACCTGGTCGACATACGGAGACCGATTAATCTCTTGACCCGGTTGCCTTATGGCGACCGGTTGATCTCTTAACCTGGTCGCCATATGGTGACTGGTCCACACACAAACCAGTCGCCATAAGACCGGTTGGACAATCAACCCGATCGCCATATGGCGACCGGTCCGAACACTCAATCTGGTTGCCATGTGGCGAGCAAGGCAATCCAAGCCAATCCGTTCTCTCTCTGTCTCCAACGATATCTCTACGCAGTATTGCTATACAGTGTTTCATTTCAACTCGATCTGAGTTATCATTAAAACTTTACGATAAAAGTCACGGAAACTTGTCTTATTGTATAAATTTCTGATCGTTCGTATGGAATGACGATGCACTACAGGAAATGATGGAAAACACTCACGCTCTGACAACGCCCGTTATAAGAGGTCCGACACTTTTAATAGCGGTTTTCGTTTATGCTATTGTTAAGTAAACAACGATAGCGATAATTTCTATGCTATTGTTAGTATTTATAAAATATATAATTAGCTTTTACATATGGGAATAAAAAGTAATTAAAACTTAAACCACCAAATATAATGAAATCAAAAATTAGATAATGATTAAATTAAAGAGAAATTAGAAGCCATACCAAAAACATTTCCCACAATTTGCGATCTACCAAAAGCATGACGTCTCATTACTGTTCATACTGTCATTTGACTATAATACCCTTCATTGCCCGAAACCGCTGGGTAGACAAATCCTCCATTAAAAATTCGTATTCTTTTCCCCCCAACAAGACAATCTTTGCCATATCTACTTTTGTCAGATGCTTGTTGAACAGAGTGACCAAAGAATTCAAAATTACTCTTCTTCACATCTTCTCCCATTCAATATTTCTTGTTGGTAATCGTAGCTAACTTCCTTTCTTCCCCCTTTCGTTATTTTTCTGAAATTGGAATCATTGGAAGCATGGAGCAGAGGGACGGCATGCAAGGGCCACCGTGTCAACTACCAGAGAGAATTTTCTACGCCAGAAAAATGACATTATTACCCTTGATGATTCAGCACTCCTCTTCTGGTTTTTAGACTTTAGATTTGGATAGATAATAATAAGATAAATTTGGTCAGTAAGTTTTGTATTACTAATCTACAATCTTCGTTTTTAAATTGGATTGATCTTTGAGATACTCTTGCCAACTATCTATTTTTGAATTTAATTGGGAGTGTGGCTTTTCTTCATGTGTTTTGTTTCACATGTGTCTAGTTGATGGTGCAGAAGCGGAAGATACGTTTGGTAGCCTCTAGATTGTTAACCACAAATTCTCAACGCCCATAATATTTGCAGTTGCAACTAAACCCAGTTCGGAATTTATTCTTGATCAAAACCGTCTAATTACAATAGTGTCTTGTCACCTATATCAATAACTGGCTAAAAAAAAATTTCAAACATTACCCATCGATATCGGGAAAGGAGAGAACCCAATCAGTCGGCTAATTACAATAGTGGCTGGTCACCTATATCAATAACCAGCTAAAACAAAATTTCAAACATTAACCATCGATATAGGGTGAAGGAGAGAACACAATTGCCCGTCTATGTACAATAATGGCTGGTCACCTATATCAATAACCGGCTAAAAGAAAATTTCAAATATTAACCATCGATATTGGGCGAAGGATAAAACCCAAAATTAGCCGTCTAATTACAGTAGTGTCTGGTCACCTAAATCAGTAACCGGCTAAAACAAAATTATTGACGATTTTGTGAAGGTTAACAGTGATTGTTAACCGGTTCCGAAGATATATAACCGTATAACAAATTATTTATGGGGCTATCTAGTTTACACTGTCGTTCTGGTCTATTCATTACCGTAAGGGTTCCAGGGATCCTGTTATCTTTCGGGATATAGAATTTTTTCTATAGGGTTATATAATTAGTGTTTGGGTTTTGGGTTTCCAATGGGGTGTAGGGTTTAGAATTATGTAACAAAGACGAAGAAATAAGAAGATGACAATGAGAGAGAAAAATCTAAAAGAAATCTCATTTGTAGAGTAAACAAAATCTTTTTGATATCTTCCATATCTAGTTAATATTTTGTGTCAGAGATAAAATCCTAACATTGATCTTCTGTCAGGAAGTGACTAATACGGGAAGCTTCGATGGTCAACGGGTAGGGTATAGATGTCTTTCTACTATCTCCTCAGTTGCCACGTCCACCCACGATGACATCATTTTGATATTCACCTAATTTCGCCATTTTCCTTTGGTTTCTGGCTAAATTGTTCTAAATTAAATATACCAATTAATTTATAATTAAAAATCAAACTTTATTTAGTAATTTAATTTGGTTTACAAATAAATTCCGGTTTACAATTACATTGGTTTACAATAGAATTGGTTTACATTTACATATTGGTTAACTAATAATCCTAACTAAACCTAATACAGCCACCAAACTATGTTCTTCTTCGGTCTCCGCCGACCATGATGCT